CGAGAGTGAGGACCACAAGCTTTCAACTAGAGGTGCCTGGAGTCACCTGGGGCTATCCCCACCCCGTCGCCGTGAATACATGGTGGCTCACGGCCGGATTTGCTAAACTATTGTGCACTTTTTGATAAATGCACCAAATTTGACACAGAAGAAGACCGATATAACATAACAAGATTTAGATGTTGAGCCATCGGCCAACTGCCCTCTGGCGGCCGTGGTGGTCATTTTCCAAAATGGCCACCCGAAAGACATCAGAAGTTTGATAAAGTATGCTGCTCAAGGTTTGTGATAAGTCAGTGTCGGTGGAATCAGCTGGAGTTGCTTTTCTTTGCAAACAGATTGCGACGTGTCTTGTTTATATCGGTTCCAGTTTTTGTTATGTCATGAAGCAGAATGAAAATGCAGTTCAAGTGAAATATACAGGGTGTTCCGTTTGAAGTAACGAAGTTATGATCGTTCGAAGAATTCAACTCTGACAGTTCATCATCAAGCACCCTGGAAGATGCTGAGGATTTCACCGCCTCTATTTGCTAAATGGGACCCACTAGAACGCCGAAAACAATGTCCTGTAAAAATCTCAGGGTTTGGTAATTTAAAATATTCTGTAATGCTTCGTGGCATTTTTCCAATTGTATTAAGCCTATTCATGCAGTAACCATTGCGGTAATAGGTCAACAAGAAGCGTTTACATTTACATATTGTGGTGGTAAATTAAGTTATTTTTGTATGATCTGTTATTTGTAGAAGTTAAACTTATTTTCTTGTCCTGGTGCATTTTAATAATGAAAAAAATCATATTACATGACCATTTTCAACCTCAAGTCAGTTGAGAAACTTTTTGATGAGTTTCAAGTTACTGATTCGATTGACCCCATCTGTTATATGTAGAAATTAAACTTATTTCCTTGTCCTGGTGCATTTTGATAAAAAAAATCATATTACATGATCCTTTTCAACCTCAAGTCACTGATTCGATTGACCCCACCCTTATGGTGAATCGAGTCAGGGCATATAAAAATATATAACAATTCAAATTTCCACCAAAATCAAAAATCGATATGTACAATTGAAACTATAGGTCATTTTTCTATGTATTACCAAAAAAAAGTTACAGCTGCTCAAAGTTGAACCCTATTCACCCCATTTTACCCAAAAATTTAAAAAAAAACACATTGCATGATAAGTGCAGTTTTACCAAAATGAGAAATATAGTTGACGGAAAAGTTTTGTAACCAGCTCGTATATTAAAAAGGCGATCTAGATCATTAATCGTCCTCTTTGATACACTAGTTGGTTAAATAACTATTTTTCTCACAAAAAAATGTTGCGATGATTCCAGACTAGAGAATTAAGCAGTATATAAAATTCTGATATCTAAGTTGAAAGAGTTAGCTACTTTGCAAATAAATGAAGTTTGTAAACTTTCTCTTAGAAACGGCATGGAATTCCACTATTGAATCTTGTGGTAGACAAGAAAGACATCTCTCATTTCTTTCACGATATATATACCATATCTGTACATAATACCATAAAATATATAATGCGACAAAAGATAAGGTGTGTTGGAACACCTGCGAATACGATATACAATAAATTAATTCCTTTCCTCAACTTTGCATAAATATATGCTTTCAATAAAACATTCTGAGGATACTTCTGAATAACTCAAGGAAAATCAGTTATTCACCTCTTTTTCTTTCAACAGAAATATCGACTGTGCCTTCATCAAGGATATATAAAAACGCTCTTTCAATAAATCAAACAATCAACATTCAATTTAATGTTTGCATAATAGTATATTATTCAACAAGCATATAATGAGGGCTATTATTCACGAAGGTTGAGTTTATGTCACGAGCGTAGCGAGTGGCATAATTAACCTGAGTGAATAATAGCTCATTATATGCGAGTAGAATACTATACTTTGTCCACGACTACTGTATTGTCTTTTATATATGGATTTATTTTCAACAACTGTCTTATCATAACTCATTTGACATTAGGAAAACTAAAAATTAAAGATATCTGTTATATTAATTATTTCTAGAACTATTGGGCCTATTTATTCAAATTGATTGTAACATTTATATTCGTACAATGGGTAATATTGAAAGAAGGTAGGGAGTTTATATCTAAATCAATATTTTGTTTGCTTATAGAACTAATATGATTGAGATTATCAGTTGGGTAGTTACAAAAATTAGTCTCCTGTATCGAGCTTGATAGTTTTTTAGCTGTATCCATTTTATTTTTAATTGACTCGTCAATGTAGCCCTCCGCTACCGATGTGGATTTCCAGCCCCCGTGTCTCTTCAGTGTTGTTATGTCTCCACCTGCATCGACGAGTAAGGTTGCAGACGATCTTCGGAAACTATGTCCAGAATATTTCTCAGGATTCGGCAGATTCAAAAACTCAGCTATTTGCCTTCCCATTTTTGTGAATTTGTTAATACCGATCCTTTGTGAAGTGCACTTGCCATTTTGGTAATTTAGAAAAAATACATGAGAAGTTACATATGCCGGACGGAGATCGATGTATTTTTTACAAATCATGTAAAAATTATCAGTAATAGTGAATTTTCTGCTGATTTTTGTTTTGGTAAATGGCACGTTTACTAAATAGGCTGATCCAAGGTCTTTTATGTCCTCTATTTTCATGTTATACATTTCATTTGCGCGGCATGCACCCATTATTCCCATTATCATTGTGACCTGATAACAAAGAATTTTATTTCATTAATGATATTCAAGCAAGTTTTTTCCATGTAGCTGATTTCTTACCTTCATTGCAAGATATTTCTCATCACATGCCTGAATCAAAAATTTGTTTATTTCTTCAGTTGAAAATGTATTTGCTTTTTTCGGATGAAAGCCTTCAGACCTCCGTTTTAGAAGTGAATGCAGTTTTACATATTTTTCTATATTGATTCCTTGATTTATATTAAGCGTACTCCTAAGCATTGAGTAATGTGTCCATAATGTGGATGGCTTATATTTTGCAGCTAATTCCGTGAAATATACCAGTAAAACTGACTCTGAGAATGAATGAATTTTCTTAGTCGCCCTCCAGTCCATGAAGGTGTTGTACACAGATACATACAGATTTCGGGATTTCTCCGGCAACAAATTCATGGACGTGACTTTGGCAGCTTCTGTTATCTCTGGTGGAGTACACAATATCTCTTCGTCACTATCAATATCCATTTTTTAGGAATTATAACGGAAGCACCGCGTCGTTGAAATTTGACGTTTCAACAATGACAACTATTTATGATGAGCTTGTCAAGTCATACATGTCAATGGCTTACGTACTCGATCATTATCGATATAGTCTATTTGATACTAACATCATCTTATTTCGAGTATACATACATAAAAAACAGATTAATGTAATACTGAGTAGGTATATGAAGATATTTCTATGATTTTAACATGATCCAAATGAAGTTAGCTAATTAAAGTGCCTGGCTATAGCCTAAACGTACTGATAAATGCTTGCTAAATACGAAAATATATCGCGTACCCTACGAACTCTAGACCAGTGAATAATGATTATTCACCGCTATTATTCACTGGTGTGGAAAATGGCTATGGTTTTGCTTGAGGAAGTACATGTATTATGAGTATTTTATACAACAGTCGTGGACAAAATATATTAGTGCTTACCAAACTGGTCTATAAAGAGAGAATGGGGTGATTTTCTTTCTACCCTGTTATACTCATAATACCGGGTGTCCCACCATGATTAGGACATAGAATAGATATCGTAACTCGTGAGTACTAGAAAATTGTTATTTTGGGGTTGTGAATTTAAGCAATCGGTGCAGGTCTTTCTGATATTCTTTCAATCAATGAGCTTTTTATTTTCGGTCACTCATTGAGTATGGCGAAAAAAAAAAATGAATTTTCATTGGTCCTTTTGAGAAATAGTTATTTTTTCTGTGACGGGAAAAACGTTTGGCATTTCATAATTTATTTTTTTCCCGTGGGAAAAAAGTGAATACTTTTTTCTTGGATATATATCACATATATATACACTGCTGATGGCTTTTGTTGTGCTATAGTTCCGAAAAATTAGTCAATAATACCGTCTCCAAGAAAGAGCTGCAAATCTTTGTATCTTCTATTCGACTTCGCGGTCACGTATATTGCTAAACAACCACTAAATTCGCAATTTTTCAAATCAAATCACAGAATTAGACTAACAGAAGTGACATCAGATATTTGATTACTTCAAAAGAATGATAAGGATGCCTACAACGCAGGTGTCCCTACTGTTAAAAACTCAAAATTCAACGTCGATAATTTTCATATTTCAAAATACTGTAATATCTTCTCAATATTGATTCGTCCTTTCTTCTGTCACAGAAAAAAATAAGTGTATTATACACGGAAAAAATATTGGATTAAAGCTCACGGTTTTTTGTCTCCCTCCGCTACGCGTTGGGAGACAACACAACCTGGAGCTAAAATCTACAACTTTTTTCCCTTGTATAATAAATAACTATTATTATACAAGAGAAAAAGGTAGTAGATTTTAGCTCCAGGTTGTGTTGTGCTATGCTATGGTCGGTCCCTACATACGAAATCAGTTTTTACTCGCGGTTAATTTTTAGCTGTTTGAAAATTACAGTGGCATTCATGTTGATTCTAGCACCTTGAAATCAAAAGAAAAATTCTCAAAAAATATGAAATTGAAAAGTGTTTGAGTCATGATTCTATTCAAGGAATAAAAAAATAGTTTATTCGTCTATTATTAATCCACAAGTGTGATGGAAGTTTGTCGAAATCGTTTCATCAGGAAGAAAATAGAATGCCACTATAAAAAATATCAGTGGAAGCTGCACCGATTGCTCAAATTCACAACCCTATCCCAATTTGTCCTGGTACACCCTGTATTTATAAGCATTTTGATTTGTGGATCTGATTAGGTGGATGAAGAAATCAAACAACAAAAAAACCTTTCCGATAAAAATTTCGAATAGAAGAAAATATCTCACCTTCGTCGTATTCATCTTCATCGTTGTCGTATTGTTCGATCAGCAGCGGGCTGTCGGCCCTGGTCACGTGGTCATCGGCGATGGTGAAGGGTACGGCAGGGGTGGGGGCAGGAACAGGGTGCCGACCTTCTGGGCCCGGTGAAAAATGCAGTTCGACGGCACCATCAGCAGGAAAACGAGTGTCTGAAAAAACATTATTCAACCGTTATCGAATAACATACTGAACATACATAATTACAAAACTCTTCCGCCATATTGGACCCGCCATCTTGAATTTACCAATTTTAACGAAAGAATCCGACCTCGAAACCTCTTAGATATCAATAATTTTGGATAGAGGCGGATCATTATTACAAAACTCGTCCGCCATTTTGGAGCCGCCATTTTGTTTTTTGTCTGACAAAATTTTATGATGCATTGCCACCAGAATTATGTACATCTGCCGGTCCGTTTAAAGTGGGTTAAAATCGAGTCCGAAGAGTCGGTTACATAATATAGATACATACACCCTGTCAGGTGGAGCTAATAAAAGTGTGTCAAAAAGTCTTATTTTGGTTCCTAAAATAAGCCTCAGAAATTTTGATACTGGCTTTTGAAACATACTGAATATTTAGCTGAGATTTTTCCATGAATCTCACCTAATTCATGGAAAAATGCTCCTCATGCAGTATTTCCATATATATTTGATATTTTCACAAGGGAATTTTGAAAATACCGCCACGGCAACACAACAATGAACGAAATATCGTTATACAGGGTGGCCCACTTTTGCTCGATCGGACCATAAATACTTGATAGTATAAAAAAAAATGAGAAATATTGAAAATATTCATTCATGAAGTAATACGACTGTTGATATAATCGAAATTACAAATAGTGAACAACTTATATATCATTAAGATATTTCAAAATAGCAATGAACAAGAAGGGAGAAAAAGAAGGGAAAAAAAAAGGAAATTCATAAAGTCCGTCAGCGTTGATCATTCCTTTGCATAATGATATATTTCTTCACTTCATTTTCGAATTGTATAATATTTTTTGGCTGTTTTTGAAATCATCTGGTTATTTATTGAATTTCGAAATCGCCTCCCTCATGTGTCAACTTTTTGTCCTAGTTTAGAATTTGCAGCTTCAAGATGAAACATGTTATATTGTCCAGTGTGATGACCATAAATTTGGGAATTGCTAATTAGTTTAAAATTTGATTCAAGCTTTCTGTAGATGATAATAATAGGAAATTTAAATAGTGCTCTTCCAAAGAAAATGTGTTTGTTTTTATTGATTTTTTGGAGCATCATATAAAAAAGGAGATTACAGTACTTCAATGGCTTCTTATATAGAACAGTAATTCTGTTGAAACTCTTTTTGGAACAAGATCCCCAAATATTTATCAGATAGGTAATTCGACTGGCGATATGTACTATCTTCTTGAAGCACCAATAATTGTATAGAGATTTCAAATACCTCTCTTACAACGTAACACAGTACGGTTTGATGACAAATTGAATGATTATTATAAAAGAGTCTCACGGCCAATGAATCTTCAGGAATGAAAATACCCGAGAGAATTTTCTTTGTGTTGGTTAAATGATAAAAAAAAAATGTTGTGAAGGCATTTACTGTTGAGGCTAGCACTCACTCTGAAATTTTCTGTACAGTGAGACTGTCTAGTCTGTGGTTTGACCTAAAAAAGCGTACAAGTATTGAAAAGAGAGGATTTCGGGATCCTAGTTCTAGTTGTGTAAAACTGGCTCAGCCAATGCTTTGTGATTTCGAGAACCTATGACAACTTTACTGTCAACATTTGGTCAATAAACAATCATTTCCGCTAGACCGTTTTATGCAGAATAGGATGACGTTAATTCCTCTCTGTAATATACTTGTACGCTTTTTTTGAATGCGACTGTACGTTCAGTATGAAGTCTGACCATCGGTTTGACCAACCAGCTGTTTGGGAAAATCGGTCACGTTTCAAAGCTGCCCAACAAAGTTACCACGCTAACTTTTGATGGGAGTCGAGTCAACCATTGGCCATCCCGGCATCACCACTGTGGTCGAACGAATCACTTGACACAGCCTGAATATCTCTTGGGATATTTTTGGTCCTGAAGATTCGATGACATGGAGACTCTTATAATTTATATAGCTATAGCTACTAACCATCACAAGCGACATCTAGCTCTTGTCTTGTGAAGCTCAAAGTATTGTCCGCCACCGCGCATGTGTGGAACTGACAGGCGAATACAGTTTCTCGGGAGTGTTCGGAGGACCGATGATAGCACTTGACGAGCACATCTCCGCGCAATCGCAGACCCCCTTTTCGACCCCCCTCTCCTGTCATGTTTACGGTGAAGTGGGTGGTGCCACTAGACACCGAGTAGATACCTGGAAATAAAACAAATATTTACAGGCCGGGCGTTTCGTAATAAAATGTGAAACGCGCTTCGGGTGGTGATAGGGTGTCTCAAGAAAATGAAAAAAAATCCATTAGCACAGGTCGTTGAAGCTAGGCTTCGTTTGCGAGATACAGGGCGTTAATGTTGCAAATATTTATAGAATTTTCTCAAGTCCACCCTGTATGACTACCCCTGGTGGCAAAATTTATCCTGTTATGTCACTGGCATAAGTGGCATTATGCTGCAATTCCGAAATAATATATATCATGGTTATAGAGTAATCTGAACAGATGTCTTGAATGGACTATCCGAGGAGTTGAATTTGGTTATTCCGTTTTTCTAGAAAACTGCTTTCTTCTACAGCGTTGTATCTTCTTTCATATTTTCGAATAGAATTTCGAAAATATTCATCGTAACCCATATTTTTTCTTAAAAAAATAATTCAATACCCTCAACATAACGGTGTCACTGAGAGTCAGATGGACTATAGATAATGCTACTGATTCTATCACTCTCAGGTATCCTTGTAGTGATTCATCAGAATAATTATCATGATTTTTTGTTGGAAGGTTATCTAGTGTAGCTACCGGCAATTATCCTGATGCCGTACATTTTTTCAATTTATTAAAATTACTTCATGTGTGGTGATCTAAATCAAATTTCCTATGTTGCTTTCACTAAAAATCCAGAAAGTGTTGAAGAACACGTGAAGGAATCTAGACACTTTCATTAGGTACTCACAGACATGGGAAACTCAAATTGGCTTGCCTCTAGATACAGAGTGACCCATCTGAAAGCGGGCCACCCTTATAACTTTTTTAATGTAGAGGAGGAGAAAGGTGCATTTTGGTACAAAGTGGAGTCCATTCTTTCAAACCAAGGCCTACTAGATCACATTCAGAGGCTGAAAAATTCAGAATCCATATTAGTATTTTTTTTTAGAAAAAAATCCGCGTACACCACTTCTCCTTTATACTCAGCTATTAGTCGTGCGATCTTTATCAAATTGGGACCGGTATGAATGATCATCAATAGAATTAGTTTTTCAGAGACATACATCATTCTGTACAGTGCCATGCGTTTTTATTGAAATGAAAAGGTGTCAATTCGTTATAAAATTATAGGAATTTTTTCACAAGAAAACTGACCGCATAATATTGTTCTTCATGGTTTGAAACCCCCATATGTGAATTTTCATATGATTCCTATGAAGTGTTTCACAAAAACAGGCACATCTGAACACCATTTTCGCGTTTATCTTGTACATCCTGTTTTTTTCATTCAGACCACGATTTTCACATACCCAGAGCTATTGAAAGTTCCGAAATTTGCAGTTATTTTGAATTCATTTTTTTCACGAGACTGAAAATTAAAAAATGTCAATTCTGTTAAAGATATGAAATAAGTTTTCTCGCAAAAAAATTCCTATAATATGATTCCATAGAAATTGCCCCCTTTTAATTCCAATAGAAAAGCACGGCACTGGCCAGAATGATGTTCGTCTCTGAAAGACTGATCTTTTTGATGATCATTCATACCAGTCCCAATTGGGTATAGATCGCACAACTATAATAGCTGGAATATAGAGGGAGGGTCGTTTGAAATGAGACACACTGTAGATTCGTTAATGTTGAATATTTTTTCATGAAACGTGGTACAGATCTATTTCAGAAGATGCCAATTCCAGTGGCGTATCCGGATTTTTTTCCAAAATAATCGCTAATATGGATTCTGGATTTTTCAGCTTCTGAATGTAATCTAGTAGGCCTTGGTTTAAAAAAAAAAATGACGCCACCTAGCTCCACCCTTCCCCCCTCTATATTTGGAAAAAAATCGTGAAAATATCTCCATGAATAAATAAATGTATGATGTTGGCCCGCTTTCGAATGAACAACTTCAAGAATGAATAATTTTTTATTTTGATATTATAGAAAGGAAGGAATTCTTCGTATTACCAAACTATTATCCGATGCATGATATTTATTTCTTCAGAAATCTTATAAAATTGGAAATACCTTTTTGAAGTTTTAAATGTCTTGTAGCATTGAGTATTCACACTTATAATCAAGGCTTGCAGTGACATTTCGAGTGTCGACTAGTTTATCTGTGGGTTATCGTTGAAGAAAATCGTGATGGTAACGCGTGTGCTGTCGGTCACGGTTTGTTGAGAAAGAGCAGTTCAAATATCGCGGAACGTGCGAAAAGAAAAGCCATTTCACGCTCACTTATTGTTTCCTATTAGGCATGTCGAGATTGGCGATTAAGTGGTAAACGTCTATTTCCTTACAACAACCTCTAATGAGGTCTAAGCAAATTATGACTAAAGCATCGTTATAGCTCCGTTCGAGCCAACCAGGGTAATTAAATTTTCTTACAAGTTATATAATGAATGATTTCTGCAACCGACATAAAACTCGTCCATTTTAATTCCAGAATTAGCTCTTGAATTGATATTTTTATTACTGACACAAACATAGGTATGTTGCTAGCCAACACTTTCAGTTCCGTGGAGCTAAAATGAACTTAAGCTCCTAGGAACTAAAAAGGATGTGCTAGGTCATCAAGGATGGTTATTTGGGTTGGGACGGATACATGGTTTGTTTCTGATTTCGGAAGATTTGGCATCTCAAACCCATGCTGGAGATATAAATACACCATATAGTTAAGTACCTATTTTTGTTTTGATCAGAGATTCACATTTTGTTATTCTCGGGATCTGATTGGTTGGATAACTCGTTTTTGAATAATCATGGCCAGCCATACCTTTTTGCCTCACACATCGATATTGTTTACCTTCATTTGATTACCGAGCCAACACAGTGGGATATGGAGAGAAATAAATATCGCTATTATTATTGTTGATGCTCTCTAAACCTAACATTTTCCACTTCTTTTTCCTACCTGGCACTAGCGCAGTATTTGCTATTATATAGGGCTGGCACATGGTCCGCACAAATGAATTTATCGATATGACGTCAATATAAAACACAAGAAGGTCATTCTGTGGTATTATTTATATCGAAATTACAATTCGAACATCCTTGAAATTTGAATAAACCTGATCTGTAAATGCAGGTAGAATATTCTCACCTCATGGATTGTTTGTTGCATTGCATACCTGTAGCACGGCATCCACGTTTCGGGTAACAAAGTAAAATAGTCTGAGGTCTTGATTGTATCTACTTACTATCATATTGTTATAATAATCTGTCAAGGAAGTCACATTGGTGGTTACTTCACTTATATTTATTTTAGTTAATTCTTTTCAAATCACCCCGTACTAGAGAAGAACTCCTAGGGAATGCCTTATCACATGCGGCCTCGACGACTCATCGATATTCGTAATCATCGTGTGATCGAAGATTGAAGCAGGTTTAGTCATTAGCATCGTAGCATCAGAACGAATCACTTGTCGATGTTGTATTTTTATATACGGTCTTTGTACAAGCCGTCCTGAGTGAATGAAAATGTGTTTGAGTGTTGAAATTGTGTCTATCTACGATGCCTCCATTTAGAATCTTATAATAGCATGTTTCATTCAAATCAAAAGTGGCTTTGTGTGAATAGTGAATTTTGCTTTCGGTCGGCTTCGCAAATGGTAAATTCGCTTACCAAACAAAGTGTCACTTTTGACCATAATAAAACAATCTACTATTATCTCTTAACTATAATATGTTCTTGAGAGGATAGTAATGCTAAAATCAGGAGTCTGCAACATTATTGGAACGGAATATGTAGTTCAAATGGAAAAAATTGAAAATACATATTCAAAAGGTAGAACCATTGTACTTCAATATTCCTATAGTTGATGCAGTAACTATTTGATAATTTGTCTTCCGTAGTTCCAGTCTCAATGGAAATAATTTCATTAGTAATTACATCATGGCAGCAAATTTCATTTTAGGATTGAGGAAATGGAACTCACCTGAAGTGTAGACCGGAGTATGTCCTTCGTAGACCTTCAAAAAGGCTTTGCAACCTCCAGATTGGAATGCGGGGGCTCCCAAAACAGTCACGTGAGTGAGATACATGGGAGAAGCGTTGATTTTGATGTTATGCGATAGCAGACCAGCAAAATATTCCACATATCTGAAAAATTTGCAATAATTATTATATCATGGAAACCATCGATATTTCTCAGAGTGGGCAAATTGATTGTTATAAGAAAAAACAATGAAAGTCCCAATCTGTCGACCACGAAAAAATTTGTTAAAATAGGTAGTGTAACTAGTTCAGGCCACAGGCCATCATCTGACACAAAAATTATGTATCCAGAAGTACCTAAAAGATAATTATAAACTGCCTCTAGGAAGAGTAACTATGCCATCTGTAGAATAAATTCAGTAAAATTTCTTGCATGTGATGCCAAGTGATATACCTATGTATACCCAGTGCCGGATTTAGAAGGGGCGTCCGGACAGCCCTGAGGCCTCCATAAAAAAGGGGCCCCCTCAATAGAAACGTCAAAGTTCGAAAAAAAAAAATCCGAATTCCGACGAGTAAACACTAACTATTAACATCTTTGTAAGCTCGAGAGGGTAACCAAAACAGTGCCAAATCTTACAAGTATTTTCTCAGAACCTATGATCTACAATAAAAATAAATACGCTAAAAATCATCTCTACAAATATCCATAAATGAACTAAAATGGTAGAAAACGAGATAAAAACAACTACTTTCCTGGCTATATGCCACGCAGAACATTGAATTATAAACCTCCCGAAATATACAGTGTGACCCACTTCCAATGGAACCACCCCTGTATCTTACGTAATCGTTGGGTAAGGATCCTGAAATTTGCTGGAGCGAGAGATATACCAAAAATGCACTCTATGACCAAGTGGGGTCATCTTCAGTGATATACACTGCTCGCCAACAGCCATGAAAGTACCCCAATTTCCGGAAAATGATATTAGGAGTCAAAATAGGTCGAAAATCACTTCAGATTTGGAACCAGGACGCCAATTTACTAACTTTTCAAAATTTTCCTGGAAAATTTTCAGTTCGGAAAAATGATATTTTGTCGCATTTTTTATGGAAGCACCCCCGTATCTCACGTAATTATTGAGGTAGGATTCTGAAATTTGCCGGAGGAAGAGAAAGTCCAGAGATAAAGTCAATTACGTGAGATACGGGGGTGCTTCCATGAAAAATGCGACAAAATTTCATTTTTCCAAACTGAAAATTTTTCAGGAAAAATTTGATAGTTAGTAAATTGGGCGTCCTGATTCGAAATCTGAAGTGATTTTCGACCTATTTTGACTCCTAATATCATTTTCCGGAAATTGGGGTAGTTTCATGGCTGTATACAGTACTACATACTAAGAGCAAAAAAATTAAATCAAAAAGCCAAGGTCTGGAATGATATTCTAAAATTTGACCTTGGCTTTTTTTGCTCATAATATGTATTGCTGAGGTTAGTATATCGACTGTTTGACTTTTTTAAACTCCTTATAACAATGTTCGTAATTATTTTTGAGGTTTCTGAATACATAATTTTTGTGTCTGATTATGGCCTGTGGCCGAAACTAGTTACACGACTACCTATATTAAATATTTTTTTCGTGGTCGACAGACTTTGGGCCTTTTATCGTTTCTTCTTATAATGATTATTATCACTCAGGAGTATTGGAATATTGAAATTATGTATTACCTTTTATTCGAGGGAATTGCTAGGGGACCAACGTTGTCATCTAAGAACTTCCGCATCGAGAAACGATCCAAGGCTTGCTCGGCATTCCCACAAATGCTTGAATAGTGCATGTAGGCCGCTACTATTACTCCTAGTTTATCTTTATTCCCCCTGAAATCAAAATATAATGACTCATACTCGGTGAAATTTTGAGAAGTACCCAAGCTCAATATCTTCCTTCCAGTTGATAATATGAAAAGTCTAAAAAACTGGTCGATGTTATTTTCGAGGGGGACGATTAAAATGCTTAGTTTTAGCCCTCTCGAAGGAGGGATAGATGTTACCTTTAGTATTTCATATGAAGAGGGAGGTCAAGATGCTCATTATTTTGAAGGCAGACAACACAGAATGTTATATGAATGTTCTCACAACGTTCACATCATACCTCTTTCAGAATATTCATAGAATATAATGAAGATGTTCTGAATGTTCATCGAATGTTTTACGAGATTATCCATGGAACATGATCATAGAATGTAATTGTTCAAATATTCTAGGTATCTTCTCCATCAGGGGCATCAGGTACCTATGTTCATAGAATATATTATTTAGATACTTTGAGCTACAGCTACGGAGTCAGATATTTAAGGAAAAATAGATTTTTCACTGATTATTCTAAATATTTTTCGCTGATTATGATAAAACTTCATGCTCACCTGCGGTAGCAATAGGGCACAGGCAACCAGCTGACGTTCCAGTGATGTCTTTTTTACGTCACTTGAATGACCAAGGTGACGTCAGTAGTTGACGTCGCATGACGTGATAATGACCTGAACAAGTCACAGCCCAATGACGTCATATTACTCACGTCGTATTGACGTCATTCACTCACCAAACTGTGACGTCCGACTGACGTCAAAATGACGAATTAATTTGGCGATGATAAGTAAAAAAGATTCTTTCAACATGGTGTGATTAACACCACTGGCCTCTGATGACATTATATAATATTGATTGTGCATTGTTGAGTCTGATTGGTGGGTGACTCCTGTGTCATGTTCATTCAATCGCCTATTCAGCAGCGCTATCCTTTAGTACGCATCTCCATCAGAATGCAATCAGTTACTCGTATTTGTATAAAAAATTATGTAGTTTGTGTTGGCGAGATGTAAGCAAACAAAGAATAGTTTGATAGCAATGGAAAGGATGTTGGCGAATTTGGCTCCACTTTGTTGAATAATGTATATTGATGCATTCTTTGTCACCCAACAAAAATCTAAATAGCAAAATATTGAAAAAATTTCTGAATGACGAAGCTCACCAAATTGGCACGTGATTTTTAGACGTCTTAGATACGTCACTGCAACGTCATAAGAGTAACGGTTTCAATATAGGTATACCTCAACAATCATTTGTATATACCGGGTGACACAGGTTATCGGGCCACCCCTGTAACTTCTGCATTCGTCAACGGATTTTTCTTAAATTCGGTACAGTTATATAAGCAACTATTTCGGATTTGATCACATTACAATCCAATATGGCGGACTTCCGGTTTTTCTGGAATTGCCAGCAATTTTGTTTTTTCAAATGGAACACCCTGTATATTTTTACATATTCAAGTTCAACAGGTCAAAACGAGTGCTATCTTCATGTCAAATGTCATTTATTCCACAGCCTACCTAGTTGAAAAATTATTCTAACTGCAAGGAAATTCACAAACTAGTTGTTGTAGTAGATTTTTGAGTGTATACAATTTGTTACTGCACCGAAAAACAGAAATGATATGTCATTTTGTTCCTTAATGTATGTTCTAGAGAGACGGGTAGGTGGCCCATAGGGGTTCCATTTGAAAAAAAAATGATTTTTGATCAAAAAGTGATGTGGCTGGATTGATTCCTGGATAAGTGACACCAAAAATAATTTTTCAGAAAAAATTATGTACTTCTGTTATGTGTGACTCATTGTGAATAGTCTTGACCACATCTCATTTATCCACGAGGTAAAATGAAAAAACAATTTTAATTTAATTTTTTTCGAAAAAATGACATTTGAAATAAAGATTGCACTTGTTTCGACCTGTTGAACTTGAATATGTAAAAATATACAGGGAGTTTCATTTGAAAAAACAAAGTTGCTGGCATTTCCAGAAATACCGGAAGTCCGCCATATTGGATTGTAATGTGATCAAATCCGAAATAATTGCTTATATAACTTTACCAAATTTCAGAAAAATCCGATGACGAAAGCAAAAGTTACAGGGGTGGCCCGATACCCTGTGTCACCTATACATAGCTTGTTGGTTTCCGAGATATACAGTGTGTCAAAGTTTTTTAGAAAAATGTTTTCTTCTACTTTTCGGGTATATTAATAATTCCAATAAAACTTGCATGTTGATTTGCTTTCATGAGTTATACTTCTGTTTCACATGATAATATATATGTATCCATGGTTTAGAGAAGTTCTGGGAAAAATGGACGTCGACAGGACGTCCCTGCAACGTCATGGAGCTGACGTCTTCTAAGTGACCTTCAATCGACGTCGATACGATGACGTGATCATCACGTCATAGAAAGTACGTCATAGTGACGTCATAAATTGGTGTGTGACGTCTCTGACGAAAAATCACCAATTAGGGACGTCACAGTGACGTGATCATTCGTCATCTGGTTGCCTGGGGGTTCAATGTCAAATCAAATTTACCGCTGTTTTTTCTAATAACTTTCCTATCCGTTAGGGGAGTTGAAACTCATATATGCTTTCAAACATAGTGATATGTGAAGCATCCGTGATCCGTATATTGTATCTGTATAATTTTATGTTTTAACTGTATAACAGTGTGGGTGTGAAAAAAATATCACCCTATCACTCTTGGAACATACAAATATGAATATAAATATTTTCCTCCGATATAACCTATATCCATCCATCGATCCTTGAAATATTTTTCTTGAGCTTTCAGATACCCTTTCTAATGAGAATATACCTAGATCATCCAGAGGATGTTGTCAAGCAGATTATGAGGACATTCTCAGAATATTCTGATGGAAGTGAGAATATTCTATGAACGATCTCAGAATCACTTCGTGCTGTCTGGGCTAGTTTATCATTGTGTGACGAGCAGTTTGCGAAAAATGCCGTTCTAACTATTGTATTGACTCTCGTTTCTTAGCTGAAAACCATGCATCTCAATGCAGGCATGTTCTTATTACTTCTGTAAGTTTAGAAGCGCATTTTTCAGAAACTGCTCATCAAAAAATGATAAACTGGGGTGCTGTTGAAAAGAGAATTGAACGCCTTTCAAAATATTAAGTATCTTGACCCCCTTTTCACATACGATTGTGAGGGTAACATCTACCCCACCTAAGGGATTAAACCAAGAGGGCTGTAAATATGCATTTTATACAAAATGAAAATAAAATTGACCCTTTCTTTTCAATTTTTCATATTATCAACTGGAAGTGTGGGAAGTTTTCTAATTGACTCGGCATTTTTCGGAAACTGCTCAACAGAAAATAAAATAAACTAGGGTACCGTTGGTAGGGTGATGTGTCACTTGCCCTCCTTCCCGTTTGAGATTATAAGAGTCACATCTATCCCTCTTAGGACGTTGAACAAAGAGGACAATACATATTTATTTCGAGTGTCGCCCTTGAAAATAAAATGGGCCTGTCTTTTCTGTTTTAGATATCATTTACTGGAAGGAAGATATTGAGGGTGGGAAATTTTTAAAATATCACCATGTATTGTGCTTCAAAGGATAAAGAATTTGCGAGTCATAATTCTCATTTCCCATTTGCTAGTCAGGCCATAATTTCTCACCTGGCATGTAGGACAGCTATCCTGTGCTGGTCGCCAGAGAGCCAGGATTCGATTTCTTTGCAAACGCTGCAAAGCCTCTCTAGCGGGGGAGCTAAAGTGGGCGACCATCCCACCTCTTTGACGTGCTTGTGTTCGCTTCTCAATGCCCTTTTCGGTTCCGACAAATTGAAAACCTGAAGCAAAAAAAAACTTTAGTTCAGTGGATAGTACAGTGTTTTGTTTGTTTTAATAGACTGGGCGTCGTTTGATGGAAACCGAAACAGCTCCACTCACACACATCAGCGTCCTTTCAATCGGTTCCAATATGATATTCAGATCCAAAAAATACAAAATAATTTCACTGGTCATTCTTTATCATCGTACATAGTACGTTCTACGTGCATACTCGATACAATAAACCATGCTTTAGATTTTTTCCAACCACTTCCATATGAATATGAGGAAATTGAGAAGAACATTAGTAACGAAAGGTATCAAGTTATAATGGAAAATAATGTGAAAGAATGCTTTCCCAATGTAGAAGTGACGTTAAGAATGTAGTAAATTTTCTTAACGGTGACTATCAGAAAGATCTTTCTCTACTAAGCTGAAGCTTATCAAGAACAGACTCTAGACCTCTCTGTCGAAAGATAGGCTATAAACTTTTCGGACCATGAGAATATCATAAACGGCTTCATTATGGACAAGCTCAAACAGAAACTAATCAGCTAGAGTGACCTGAGTGAATACGATCAGCAGTACATTTAATATCCCAGAAAATATTTATTCAAGATATACTTATGACCTGAAGGCGAGAGGAGTACTTAATATTGACTTGATCTCTTCTTGTTGACTAAACAATGTACATTAATAGTTATTTAACCAACTAGTGTATTAATCGCCTTTTAATATACAAGTTGGTTACAAAATTTTTCCGTCGACTATATTTCTCATTTCTCCTGCAATGAAGAAAACTTGGATCGCGAATTCATCATTCATCCGGAAACTGCTAAGAATCACCCAGTAGCCTTGTCACTGACATTAGTGACATTTGACATTTGTCGAAATGATCAACATAGAAAATAAATTCCTTGTGTTAGAAAACAGGAGAAAAAATCGTGTCAGAAACTTGGAAAGGCGAACCCGTTTTTCCCGTTAACAGAAAATCTTCGATGAAATCCATATTTTCGATTTAAATGCAGATTCCGTAAGTTATAGCATAAACAATGAATACACGCGGTGTATGTTTGGTTGCCTATAAAACAATTGTGCATTAATAGACAAATCGTTTATTAATAGGGGTCATTAATGAACGATTTCATATACATTAAACTTAGTCGTTAATACGAGGTCGACGGAAAAGTATTTAATTTATGTTCACTTTCGTTGCGTATCTCAAACGACAATAATTTGTGTTACAAAACAACGATGTGAAAGTCTCCTCAAAAATCACCATTTTGCACCTAATTTTTTCATTTTTTCCGGGTGAGGGCACCCTTTCATTGGGGGTATTTCATATTCCCTGATGCGTCACGGGCCTGTATTTTCTAAATCCGGCGGCGCAGTGGAAGAGCGTCCGTCTCACGACCGCAAGGTCGTGAGTTCGATTCCCAGCACGGGCAAGGAACTTTTTTCAATATTTTATTTACGAATTAAATATTGTAAAGTTTCGGAGCATCGGCTGGGGATAGTCCTGCACGATTCGCTGTTGCGTTCCAATTAACAGTGCTGCTCCTAAAGTGGCGCATGGAGTTAGTAACAAAGCCTACACAGAACACGCAGAAAGATATGATGATGTGGTTGTGAGCATCAGAGAAGAAGTGGGACGGTGTATGTAGGTGGGTGTGGAAAACTACCAGCTGAGCGCGAGAGCGGGCCAGCTGCTTAAGTAGACCTCGGTCTCGGGGGTTAACGAGGATAGTTAGCAGGCCTGCCACTGCGCATATGGTAGTGAGTACATTACTAGCCTACAAAACACAGCTGAAAAACTCTGAAAAGAGAGCTGATGGGCGGTGCCTGAAAAGGATGTTAGCCAGCTCTCTTGAGCGAACCACATCAGTCATTGAAAACACTTGGGGTTTGCAAAAAGGTCCCATTGGGGACTAGTTGCTGACGTGGAAACGTCCCCCACCAGTACCAGTACCAGTTCTAAATCCGGCCCTGATGAAATTCAACCACATTTTTGAAATATCAAGAGAATCGATTTGTGACAATATTCAAAGGCATTTCATGATTCGGGGTGCGTTCTCTGACATTAGTCGCTAGAGCGATACTATTCCTATCATACAAAATGCCAATTCCAGTCACGTACCAATGAAAAATCTCTCATCGTATCTTTACCCGCACCGATATTCTTCTTCGGAATATCAAACACTTTGGATAGGCCAATATCAAACAGCCATAACGCAAGGAAGAGCAGAAAATGGTTATTTGAGAGAGTGATTGGATGAGAAAGATTGATGATCATGAATTCGAATTGAAAACCTAGAACTTATAACAATCAAATCTGAAAGTTGGTGACTGTTGGACCAGACACATAATGATATGAGTTGTCTAAGAACGTATTGAGACTATTTCTTTCCCCTCGCCCCAACTGAGCTTTGTATTCATCTGGTATTGTAGTGAGAAAAAGGTGAGACTGGATTAATTCTAGTAATTCTGTGGTTCTGTGCGGAAAATTGTGAGGTTATATTTTCATTTTGGCATGCTTTCAGCTTTGAAGTATCAGTCCACAGGTTGAATCCTTTGAAAAAAATAATCAATTCGTTTCCAAAATTCCTTGATATAGGTGATAGAATCCAATAAAGACATATTATTACAACTCTAAGGCTGAAGCATGCAGTCCAACAGGCCAGATAATAATAATTATGATGTGATAACAGATGGAAATAATAATATTTTAGATAAAGTTTTCTTCCCTTGCCCTTCCTGACAGATAAAAACTTGTTCTCAATTGATCTCAGTAGTGAGAATGTAACAAGGTGAAAAGATGCCTGATGTATGAAAAGATACCTCGTAAACATGAGTAATCTCACAAGAAATTAACAATATAAACAATGTAAAATAACGGATATTTTGAAGATTTGATATCGATGAGAAAGTAAATATGGTCGTGACATCCTTCTGTCCTACTTTTCTGAATATGGGTATGGGTCTAACAGAGCGTCCATCAACTTATTTGTGATATCAGTCAAACTGCATGAGTAGGAATTGTTTTTCAGTTCGTTCAAGACTGGAATAAGTTTATAACAAAAACCTCCTCGTAGATATGCCAATGAAAGATTTTCTTCAAAAAATCACCCGACAATCTCAAAATAGATTAGATAATTCAAAGAATGACATGACGTTTAAGCAGCACGAAACTAGTGGTATCGCTGGCATAGTTTCTGATTGAATACTGATTCATTTTCATGGATGAAAAATGCAGGATAATCAAATCTCACTGTTAGTCGGGGCTATATTCCAGAAAAGGCCTCCGCTACAATCCTAGAAGCATTTCATGTAACAATTCGATAAATGAAGGAATCGGAATATACTTTCTGTCTCGGGAAGTACCACACATCACCCAGCATTCCTTGTATTTGATATTTTCAAAGTGATAGATGAATAATAAAATCACATCGGTGTCTCTGGCAGAAACAACAACAGCATATCTTTCGGTTTTCACCATCCTTGTATCAGCCTCTTCATGGTTTGAAAATAAGTGTGTCAGGTCTCTTTCTTTGCTTGACTCGGCATGCGTCTCATTCACAAAACCACCAGCCACAATGGCTCAGGAAGCGCGCGAGGTCGACCTTGTTTTCTGACAGAAAGAGGAAGCTGCTCCAATACTTAGGTAAGGGAACTCCCTCGTTCTTGACTACTCTTCGTACAGGAGCAAAACCCATTCCTCTGTGTTTTCTTGGGTGTCTCATCGTGTTCTACACCCCCGAAAACATAGACATCGGCACCTTAGTCGTATATCTGACCAATAGTAGCAAATAATTTGATTTCAGGGGTATTTTGGTCGTAATCTTGAATATCTCACTTCCGGTTAGAATTTTGACTTTATAAACGATATTTCCGGATTCGGCGGGGTCGAACTGGGGGTTAACGTCATTTATCCAACTGTTACATGACATGCTTCTAGGATGTGGCTTTTCGCAAAACAAGCCCTGACTATGTGATTCTTACCATATAGTTGTCTCCGTGTTTGTTTCTGAGCATGTGAGCTGCCTGTTGCTGTCCCTGTCGGTAGGCATGTGAATTGGTGTTGGAGGGGAACCACAGGGATATTATCCGTTCAGTGACGTAGCTGAGGTCCATTCCACCTGAGACGTTTGTTTTGTTGGTGGACCTGCTTGGTTGAGGCTGAGTGGTGAGGGCATCCCCAAACCCGTTGTAGGAGGTGGAGCGAAGCATCTGCAAAAAACAAAGAGAATAACAATTTGGAAAATGCCAAATACTCAAAGTGGAATGAAATGGTCACAATGAGGGAGAAACTCCCCACTAAACATGAAACCTTACTTGAAATGTAACCCAGACGTTATGTCCAGGTTTCTCGTATAATTTTTAGGTGCAAGAACATTTGAACGAAACCAAAATGAGAGGTTTCCAGAAAAATGCACCCATTTAAGAATTTATGTTCTAATGCTGCTTCTACTGATGTTTTTTGTTGTGTTGCCTACATACCTCATTCGAATTTCTTGATGCTAAGGAGAGTTATGTGATGGATGGACGAGACGCGGGTATGAAGTGCGGGAACGAAATTTATCTGAATCAGTACAAGACAGTACATGGTCAGAGAAAAACGACTGAATCTAGACTAACGAGAGTCAGTGATCAGTGATAGCTTAGCCAGCGTGAAATGAGCGTAATCTCAAAAACACTCACACTCAATCGCCAATAATAATGCCACAGTCCTATTTCGAGTTTGCTAAATACCTAGTCACTGTTTCTGATTTCTGAATGTATATGTTTGGCAGTGGTAGTAGAACCTGATAGTTAATTTGTGGCATATATTATCCAGTTGCTTAGTTTCGAGGAGCCAAAAGGGGTAATCAGGATCCACCCAAAGTATTTTATCAAGAATGATTCCACATCCGAAGGAAATGTGAATGATGAATGATGAATGAACGGCAAAGATTACCACCATAGGAGCTGGTAGGATCCATCCTCTTGGCAATCGAATAATATTGGTTGTCTGTACATTTATTTGCCGTTTTGGGGACAGTAAATTGTGTCATAGAGATAATAATTGAAAGTGTTCATGGATATTTTGGGCTTGTGTGGACTATTTTCGTTTTGTATTTCTCACATTTATGTGACGGGGATGGGTATTTGCCTACTGTTTTTGAAATGAGAATAAGTAGTACCTAATGAATTTGTCTGTTTCTACTGTATGTATCTTTATTTCTTCACCATATCCACTATCTTTGAGGAGTTGATAAAGCTATACAAAATTGGAAACCATTATGAAACGTGTCCAGGAAAGTTTTGTTGAGGCGTGTCCAGGACGGTTTTGTTGGAACTTGTCCAGAACGGTTGTCTTGAAACGTGTTTGGGGCGATGTTGTTGAAACGTTCCATGAAACTTCAATGAGCTAGGACATTTAAATTTTCTGGGACGTTCCTGAAACATCCGAGAAATTTAAGTGGAAACTTTCCTGGATACTGATATATGTTTGGGGGGTCAAAGTCATTACCGCATTAGTTCATGAAATGAATGAAAATGGTATGTAACGAGAGAAAAACAACTACTTTCCTGGCTATATGCCACACAAAAGAACATCTTCCCGATATATTGTATGCAACGATTCGTGAAGACGAATACAGCTGCGACTGATTCTTTGATGCGGGGAGGTGTTTATGTTGGGTCAGGTTCACACCAGATGGTGGTCAATAATTCCATCTGGAGATACCCCTGTACTGATGAGAGTCCAAAGCTCGAAACCGGTATTTAGGTAGTCTACCGTTCCTGAACAATTTAGGCGAAGCTCAGCATTCAGGAAAGAAACACTTGTTCTGCGTGGCATATATACAGCCAGGAAAGTAGTTGTTTTTATATCGTTATCTACCATTCTCGTTCATTTTATCAACTAATGAGGTAATGAGTAAGTTTCTCCTTCTCTGTGAAAGAGAATGATAACAATACTGATATCCTCTTGAGTATAAACACGTATTAATATGAACTTTGAACTAAAATGTTTTATCGAATGGATGAACAGAATTACTAGCAATTCATCTAATCGACTCTCAAGATCCTAATCCGATTAAGTATATCAAGTCAACAGCTATCTCGATAGAACATTTTTATACATCCTATGAATAAGACGTTTCGGAGATGTAGATTGTGCAGCAGTAAATTTGGTTTCAAAACTGCCATAAACATATTTGCCCAAAGTTTCTGACAGAGAAGCTCATTTTATTATTATCGTCTGTTTGTGTTCACAAACTCGAACATAAAGCAAACGACATATTGAGAACGCTCTGATATTATTTGCCAGACTACGGCTGCTTTCACACAGTTAGAGGTAAGATGAGTTGACATGGATGCTCCATGTTGATGTTGATGTTATTATGAATATCAAAGCTGCAATATTTCATGTGGTACTGATTCTCAAGTGACTCTAGAAGTCAGAATACCAGTTTGAATTTAGTTCCTTGTAAATTTATTATGCGCTTCCATAAATTTTTGGCTTTATGTATCATTAGTTCGGTTTCACACACAATGCAACAGTTTACTTGAGAGCTGGAAACGATCAGTCGACTCTCGACTGCTCCTTTTTTATTGCATGCTAATTGGCAGTATCATGTCAGTCAGAGACCACCCATTGTTTCGAGCTTTTGTCTTAATCATGGGGCTATCATCCAACCTGAATTTCGGTAATGATACCAATTATTTACTCCGTCTTGACATGCACAGCCACCAAATATAGAAGCTGTGAAAAATTTGTCAGGAAAGGTTTTCTCTTGGATTGTTATACCACCGAGGTTACCACTATGTTCGAAGTGTACAATATTGATCTCATTATTTCTTCAACTAAATAAAAGGAAATTTGATTTTTTTGATTTCTTGAAGCGCACGACAGGAAATCCTTATAATTATCGAAGAACATCGTGCGTATTTAGGGAGGATAAGAAATTACATACAGGTATTGGAATTTTTTTATCTTTCGGGAATTATAAGTTCTTTGTAATACTTACTTTGCTATTCTGCAGACAAAAGAGTTTTGATGAAGTGTTATTCGACATATTTCGAGGTTGACAACGAAAGAATGTACTGACTGGGCTTGTCGAGTCCCTCTGACTGGTATTACTAGTGATGAAATGGTAGCAGAGATTTCTGAAGAACATTCTCTGTGGAAGTATCTAGAAAAGTGAATGATCGCCGACTTTTTTACGGTCTTTCAATGATGTCAAAGAATAAGTGAGTGTGGCTTCACCGAACAGGCGAATGGCTCTTTTCTGGTTGGAATCTAAGAGCAGTAGCTTATGTTTGGGTGCTGAACCCCATATGTGTAAACAGTATTCAAGAACAGGCCATATATCTATGCTATGTAGATGGTGAGAAGCTATAGTAGATTTTCACACGGAATAAGAATCCAAGTTTGTGTAAAGCAGCTTTCGTGATGGATCTGACATGATTATCCCATGAAAAAGTATTGCTGTTGGAAATACCGAGCATAGATATATAGTTGACTGGGTGGGTGTGGTGGAACCACACATTGTTATATCATCGGGCATATTGAGTTCCGTCTTTCCAGATAAGATTTGATTTCGATAGCATTGATTCAACCAGGTTGTTGGTTCCCTCTAGCTGTGATTTTAGAAAGATCTCATTTACAGCGTAAATTACTTGGCGTGAATTACTTGGCAGGAAATGGGAATTCTCGAGAAAAATGTAGTATTGTGAGTATACTATCAACTGCAGAGCTGAACATAGGGAAAGGAGTGACTCTCAACAAATCATTGATATGAAGTAGCTTAGTGCTTGCTTGAATACAGAGTCCATTGTGATTTTAACAGGTTGTTTTCACACTGTCAAAAGGTCAAAGTGAACTCTCAGGCAAACAAAAGATGAGAAAAAAAGAGATACAACCACCTTTCCATCATCTCTTGGAGCGTACGAAAGAGAATCCCTTTAATGTTCGGGAAACATCGTGGGTACCTAGGGAGGATAGGGAGAGGAGGTATAGGTATTGGGATTTTCCTTCAACATTTGGAGATTATAAGTTCCAGGGAATACTCTGTTTGACAAAAAAGTCCAAAGCTTTGCCGTTCTATGTATAAACAAGTTTTGGTGAAGAGTTGTTCGACATACTTCGAGGTCGACGACACACAAAGGTGTGGTGACTGGGCTTGTCCAGTACGTCTGAGTAATGGAAATACAATAATGAGATTGCTGCATGATGGTATCTATTCATATCGCGTTGAATTTATAGAAAATTATGAAATTATAGATATGCTAGACGTACTATATGACCTCTTACCCCTCATTGGATAGTTAGACAAGGATAGAGAAATGCACCAGTGCAGATAATTGCGAGTGAACAATCCAGTTTTTTGACAATTTATTTGGACATTCCCCATTTTCCTTTGAATCTTTGGACTTATTTTTTGTTTTCGATGATTTTTTCATTCAAATATGACTTTTATTTTTAGTTGTTCAACTTTATTGCTCATTGTACTCCATCAAATGAGTCCAGGTGGTTTGATTTCAGTTATCTCCAACTTGCAAAAAGTAAGGAGGTTTTAAACATTGAAATGCGTTTTTCTCGAAACTTACTTCCCCCGTGGTCTTCATTTGCAATTTTCAGTCAAACACATATAGGTTCCGGTTGAGATAGAGTTTGCCTCGAGTTTTGCCAAAATTACAAGGGGTTTGTTCTGTTTATCTATCATGAACAAGGAACGAATGACTTTTGCTCGAAACAAAGAGGTCAGTTGGACTTTCGACAAAAAGCTCCTTGTAATATCCACGATAAATAAAGTTTTTGTCCGGCTGGAATGGATCTCGGAATTCGGCTAATCCGGGAGACTTCCAACTGCCGATAAATCGTAAAGAGGAACGGCAATCGCGTGACGTATAGCAATGAGGCTTTTGCGAGCTTGGTGATGAAAGTTTGGTGCGTTTGGCACCAACCCAAGATTTTATCTTTATTGATATTGTGTATGTTCCACTGAATTATCCTCTCCAAATTAAATGATATGTTCTGTTATAACAACATGACATTATTTAATATACACTGTGTCCATAGAGTCACCCCCCCCCTGGTTAACTATTGAACGGATGGGATTTTTTTTTTCAATTTTTTTTTGCTCCAATGGTAGTTTCAGTGCTATATGTTGTTCCGAAAAAAAAATATGTATCCTCCAAAATGGCGCCTGGGCGCCATTTTGGAAGATTTTTTTAAATGGAGTGGGGGGTCGAAAGATACCTCGATTGAAAGGTCTTTCGATTCTCTATACAACCTCAGAATCTCAGACGAAAATATTCATCCAAAACAAAATGGCGGATGATAACGTTTGAAATCTCACACCAGAATTCTTTCGACTAGATGGCTATTGAAGTGCTCGCATGTGATCTTCAAATCTCTATTGGCGTAAAGAAGAGTTCTCTATCCATGAAGATATCAATAGGAGGCCATTTTGAAGAGAATAACATGGTAGTCAATTATACCTTTGCTCGATTGTCTTTCCAAATTCTGCAAAATTTTAGAAATATTTATTCAAAATAAAGAACAATGTTTATTCCACGTGACTACCATGTTATTCTCTTCAAAATGGCTTTCTATTGATATCTTCATAGATAGAGAACTCTTCTATACGCCAATAAAGATTTGAAGATCACATGCGAGCACTTTAATAGCCATCCAGTCGAAAGAATTCTGGTGTGAGATTTCAAACGTTATCATCCGCCATTTTGTTTTGGATGAATATTTTTGTCTGAGATTCTGAGGTTGTATAGAGAATCGAAAGACCTTTCAATCGAGGTATCTTTCGACCCCCCACTCCATTTAAAAAAATCTTCCAAAATGGCGCCCAGGCGCCATTATGGAGGATACATATTTTTTTTTTGGAACAATATATAGCACTGAAATTACCATTGGAGCAAAAAAAAATTGAAAAAAAAAATCCTATCCGTTCAATAGTTAACCAGGGGGGGGGTGACTTTATGGACACAGTGTATATATTATGTATACAACATACAGTGTGTCTCACTTATAATGGAAAGACCCCTGTATCTTAGGTATTCGTTGGGTGAGGATCTTGAAATCTGCTGGAGCGAGAGATATACCAATAATGCACTCTATGACGAAGTTGGGTCATCTTCAGTGGTATACACTGCTCGCCAACAGCCATGGAACCACCCCAATTTCCGTAAATTTAATTTTTGTCTCACTTCTCATGGAAACACCTCCGTATTGTACGTAATCGTAGGGTAAGGATCCTGAAATTTTCTGGAGCGAGAGATATACCAAAAATATACTCTATATGGCCAACAGCCGTGGAACTACAAACATGTCCGGAAAATGATATCACGAGAAAAAATATAGATTGAAAATCACTTAGGATGCGAAAAAAAAAGACATTCAATTCACTAACTTCTGACGCATTATTATCGGTAACGATTATCTTTATGCTATTGAGGAATTCATTCATACATAATTCATTTCGATGATACCCGTCATGATTTCTGTTCAATTGGACGACTCCTAATAATCTATTCGATTAAAAAATTGTTGTTCTCAAATTGTTCTGTTTGTTATTTCATTATCCCTGATGAGAACTGACTTTATGATTGTCAATATCAGAACAACCATTGAGTGAATTTTTCATTTTGATAAATTTATCCTTCTGGAATATCGGTGGTTCTGTGGCTGCTGGGGAGCAGTGTATCAGTAGGGGCGCCCGGAGGGGGAGGCAAGGGGGGCGCTCGCCCCCCCCCTAGCGCCTGGTCTTTACTCATGAGATACTTTCTATAATGTATCTCACATTTTCATTATTCAATTCCTACTCTGATTAGCGCTTATTATAGTGACTTTCTGAGACTTTGTTTAATTAGTATTCATCGACATCTCATAGATCTATAAAGAGTTAATTTTATCAACGAAGATATTGATAAATTTGCTCAAGTCTCTAAGTCTCTATAAGAATGCCTTTTTTTAACAAGATTATGGTTATCATCACGTGCAATTTTTTATTGTAATTTTGGCTGTAAACAGAATACCTATGTGATGTCAATATTCTTTTTTTATTATTCCGTGTTTTATGTAGAATAATAGTAGATTATAAATCGAGAGAGTAAAGTGCATGATTTTTCCAGAGGTGGTTTTGTAGCCAGAGGGTGCTACAATCCACTGAGGGAAGAAAGAACTCACTTCCGAGGTTTATATACCATTTTTTGCACGACTCGACGATTTCAATTGAAAGAATCTTATGATAAAATCAATTATTGTCAATATGATGATGAAAATCTGAACACAATAATCACAAAATGAAGTTTGATTATCATGACTACCGATAAAGAAGAGTAGCCATTGCTTTTTGTGAACATCGAGACAGTGTGGTAGCATATTTTCTTAATTGCTTTTCAAGTTTTTTCAATAAATATTGCAGGAATTTGTGGAAAAACTACTGAAGAAGCTGCTGCAAACATATAGTGGTAGATTTATTGCCAGAAAAATCCCGGAAAATGTTTTAGCCTAGAGAGGGCCAACTCTGTATACCCTGTATTCCCGCTTTTGTCGTGCAAAAACAGTTTTTTTTATGTTCTGAATAATGTACATTATTTATTGTGACTTGCCCCTTCCTGTGATTATTTCTGTGGACGCCCCTGTATCATTGAAGATGATCCCACTTGATCATTGGTCTCTTTCTTGGTCCTTAAAATTTCAGACTCCTACATCAATAATTTTGTAAGATACATAAGTGCTTCCGTGGAAAGTGAGATAGAATTTTTCAGCAAAGTATATGATAATCCATGAATGGGTTTTACCTTATTCACGTCGTGTCCATTTTTCATGGATTCTTCATGGGCATGCTGTAACAAAAATCATCAATTAGTTGATACTCATCAAATATTTATTGAAAATATGAAACTAACGGATATCCTCCTATATACATGCGGCGCCAAATACATATATAGTATATGTACTCTATTATGTGTTTGCTGTGGAAAGTATGGGTGTAGCATTCCATAAAAGGATGTTTATTTTTCAAATTCATCTGATATTATTGGCGATGGTGAAGATAAATTTATTTAAGCATAATACAGGTTCCCACGGTGCAGAGTCAATTCCTGTCAAGTTACTTCCATAAACCTATAAGCTATAAGATATCCAAAGTAATATTCATAATAATATCAATGATACAGGGTGAGTCATGAGGAACTGTACATACTCCTACCACGAATGAAGGCCCCTGAGGGAAATACCGAATGTCCATCAGAAAATGTCTTCTACAGTTCTTTTCCAATATATATAGGGTGAATTATGAGATTTGGCAAAAATATCTTTCGGTTATAACTTTTCAACAGCTTCTTCGATTCATCTGATTTTTTCATGGAATATTCCGCTACTACTCTCTAATCGACTGACCTATTCAGAATCGGCAAAATCCAGGACCGTTCTTGAAAAATTTTGATAGTTTAGTTTATAGCAAGAAAATCATCCTGTATATCTTTTTAGTAAACTGTGACAGGGAATTTTCCAGGGTCACAAACAAACATCAAAAACGAAATATCCCAAATTTTCCTCACACTTTCACTGCAGTTTGAAAAAACTATAAATTTTATGAAAAAACAAAAATTTGGCAAAAAACTTATTTATTTGGAAATTAATACTTCGCAACCCATGAAACAAAAGTGAGACTCACATTTTAAATGCTTCAGCTCAATGAAAATCAATATATCATTTTATTTTCAGGCCTGGATTTAGTCATTCAAATTCTTGTGAAGGATTATAATAATCCTGTTGGTCTTTTCCGAATCAGTGGAAAATGTTGTGAAAATGTTGATGGCCATTGCTATAAATTGGGCTAAATGCAAAGCATTGAAAATATGAGTCTTACTTTCATTTGTGAAATTTATGCGTTGCGAAGTAATTATTTTCGAATGATTAAAGTTTGTTATCATACTATCGTTTTTGCTTCTAATTCATAGTTTTTTGAAACATTCTGTGAAAGTGTGAGGAGAATTTTGAATATTTTATTTTTGATGCTTATTTGTGTGCTTTGGAAATTCCCTCAAAGTTTACAAAAACCATATACAGGATGAACTTTTTAGTGAAAACTAAACTATTGAAATTTTTGAAAATAGGTCAATCGATTAGGGTTTAGTAGAGGAATGTTCCATTAAAAAATCAGACGAAAGTGTGAGGAGAATTTTGAATATTTTATTTTTGATGCTTATTTGTGTGCTTTGGAAATTCCCTCAAAGTTTACAAAAACCATATACAGGATGAACTTTTTAGTGAAAACGAAACTATTGGAATTTTTGAAAATATGTCAATCGATTAGGGTTTAGTAAAGGAATATTCGATGAAAAAATCAGACGTATCGAAGGAGCTGATGAAAAGTTATGACCAATAGATGTTTTTGCCAAGACTCATAATCCGCCCTATATATTGGTAATGAAGAGAAGACACTTTCTAATAGTCATTAGGTATTTCCCTCATGGGCCTCTGTTCGTGGTAGTAGTATGACTCACCCTGTATAACTCATATAATCAGCAAACATACTTGTTCTCTTAATTCCACACCTAATTCAATAATTATTCTTTAAGTGGAGTAAAAACATCATCATTATTAGTTTGATCAGGTTCCTACTCATTTATGAGACAATGAAGGAAACACCAATAAGGATACAATTATTTTTTAATAACCAATTTGCAATTAACGACACTAGCTGGTGAGAAATTGTCGGCATAAGACAAAAATTAAATGGATTACCATTATTTCGTGTCATTTAAAATAATTTTGTGAGGGAACAGTACACGAAAAAAAAAGATTTGTTGCATCAACAAATTATTCATGCTTGAAATATTATTGTTGTACTGAGAAATTTTTTGTTGATTCAACCAGATACATGATCAACAGTATAACATCAATTTCATCAACAAAATATATGGTTATGTCAAAAACAAATTATGTCGATCCAAAATAATGTCGATGTTACTTCAACTATTAACATTTCATTTGATGAAGTAATGATCATTTTGATGAGAATAGATCTTTGAAACAACATACAAGTTGTCTTATTCCGATGTAGCAATGAACTCGTTTCGAACGTAGCAACGTAATATGTGAAGTCAATGAGAAATTTCGTTCATTCAACATCAACTTAAATTTTCGCTTCTAGATGGCGATCATTTCGTCTCGTTTATGCCTGGCTTGAATTCATTATATACGTGAAGCCTGATTCTTCGTGTTTGAGATATCATCTGGATAAATCGAACTTAAAATGATTAGCAATTCGAAATAGTTTTGCATCAGCTGAAGAGAAATAAGTAATTTAGTTTATTCTAATGATGTGAATTTTCAGAAAATTCCTGAATTAATACTGAATTTGGTTCAACAAAACAATAAGTCGATTGGAAATACAGTTTCTCTTGAATCAACAAAATATTTCATAGATTTAACCAAATATTCAACCAAATAATTCATTGAATCAATCAAATATTTCTTTGAATAAACCAAATATTTCATTGAATCAACTAAATATTTGATTGAATCAATATCTTGTTATTTTGAATCAAACAAAATGATTATTTGAGCCAATTCAATATCTCATCATGAACAATTCATGGATGTGCTTGAATGAATAAGATTCAGAGTTCATGCAAGACATATTTACTTAATTCAAACTTCAAATTCACTCTGAAACAAGACATAGATTTACTCATTTCAACATTATATTTTGTCGTGCATATATATGACACTTTTATTTGCTTCATTCAATTAAATTCTGCTTGATTCAACAATTCCTTTTTTTCCGTGAGGTACCTATTTCATGAGAAAAGAGATGTGATACGATTATGCTTTAGATTATAGGTAACTGTGATATGTTATTTCTCATCTTCATCTTATCTCATACACATGCCATGCACAAAAAATTCGCTTATCCTGTATACTGTATACTGTACGCGCATTCAACTTGCCACTGTATAAACACCAAGGGAGAGTCAGATTTTTAGTATGTATTTATAGCTCCAATGGGGTTTGAAGTTTATTTACTCGTGAGCGAGTTCTGTTAAAGAAAATATATTCCAAGTGCAAATTGACTTGGTGTTAGTTTATCTCTCCAAGATCGACCGGTAAATTTTCTTATCACAATTCTTTAGACATCAAGGTTTGTAATTGAATACTGTGTGTAGGTTAATTGAAGAGGTGGCACATTCATTTCACATGGTTTTATAATTTTTTTTTATGTTCTGGTTCCCCCGAAATGGGTTATCCCGTAATGTTCACAGAACATCGTGAGAACCAAGGGAAATAAGGTAGGAATTGGTGTTCTTCTTGAATTTCTGGAGGTTATATGCCTCGTGGAACACCTCCCTTGGCAATGTGTTTCAGAGCCTCGCTGTTCGTTGGATAAACGAGTCTTTGGAAAGAGACCAAAGTGACCACGAAGGGGTGCGAAGCCTCAACTCGACGGGTTAATCTCGCGGGGACTGCCAATGGAGGAACAATTGTTGATATTTCAGAAGAGCATCGTCCATGAAAATATCTATGAAATAGAGCCAGATCACCAACATGTCTACGGTGTTCCAGAGAAGTGAGTGAGTTTGTGAGCGAGGCATCACCCACGAGACGAATTGCCCTTTTTTGGACAGAATCCAACAGTTTCAGGGTATGTTTGGGTGCTGCACTCAAATATGGGAACAGTATTCCAGGACAGGTCGGATCTGTGCCTTATAGATCATAAGCAGCTGACTGGAAGTGAAATAATTCCTGATCCGAAACAGACAACCAAGTTTTTGGGATGCACTTTTAGCAATTGATCTCACGTGATTTTCCCAAAAAAGGTTATTGCTGATAGTAATACCAAGCATCGACATGGATATATCAAAGGTATGGTTACTCCTGTGTAGGTATATCATCATCCAAGAATTCTGTTATCCAGAATGATAGGTGACAATGAAAACGGATGATTTCGTGAAAATAATACATTCAATTAATTCTAAGTTGATTCATCATTTATATATGATGATTTTGAGATTGCGAAGCTGCGAAGCTAAATAAAGTACTTATATCGAACCAGATTGAAACATAAAATTGAATATCAAAGTATAAATTTTGTGCACAGAAAAATATTGAGTAAATATCTTGATACAGCCTTCAAATCTCGCTTCAAATAGTATCAGCTCAGAGATAATTTGTAATGTCTCAACTCTCACTACGAATTTTTTAGTTCTGTGGAGGGGGGGAAGTGTATTTTGGAGTTAAGCTGCGTCTTCGCGCTTCTCAGCGTGATATCACTAAATGAGTGTGTTTTCATAATAGAAAAATATCCGTAAAAGCAAAAACGCAACAGATATAGTGTCAAAATAATCACAATATTTATAGTACACCACTTTGGTGTTGAATAACACGAACCGATAAAATTAGCACTAGGTACTCTATAGTGTATAATTCTTGACTGTACGTAAGAACGAATGATGGTGTTAAAAATATCAGTGTTAATCCTCACTAAAATAATCAGGACCTCAGGGGACACCCAAGGGTGATAGCTGGTGTTATTTTTTTTCACTGTGTAGGTTGATTTCAATAGGTCTAATTTGGACTCTGGTGAGTGTTCTAGTTCACCCTTTAGAATTGATGGTAAGTTGTTCTGGGACACCTTGTATTTGCAAAAAAAAACATTATTTCTTTAGGAAGTTAACATGATCGAGGGTACATTTACGATTCCAAATAATGTAAATATTTACAAACGCTTACAACTTCCGTGCTTTATCATCATCGATTAGGTACCTACTTGATGGTTGTTGTCAAATATTTGCAAATAAACATTCAGAAATTCCTAGAAATATATATAAAACGACCA